CTGGGCTAGTGTGGGGGAGTGAGGCCCCCATCACAGGGACCCTCTGGGGCTGGCACGGGGAGCTGGGGCCCACTCCAGGCAGGGCCAGGGGAGAGACCCAGCTCCAAATATTGCTGGAGCAGGGCCCCGGCTTTGGATATTGCTGGAGCCAGGGCACGACGAGCCCATATAACTCGCCGCCCATGTGCCCTCCGCCAAACTATTGTAGCCAGATGCCCTGAATCTACCACAACATACAAAATGGGAAATGACTGTCTAGGATGGGGTGGGCCAAAGCCTCTCAAAGCAGGCTGGATCTGGCCCACCTAAGGCTTTGATCTGGCCCGCCAGGCAGTTTCGGGCCCCACCCCCCAGCTCATTGCCTGGAAGAAGGAGATGGGTGTGAGCCCTTCAAACCGCTTCTATTTAAAGGGCTCGTGTCTTCTCCGCACCTTGCCTAGAGCTGCAGGGAGGGCACCAGCCCTTTAAATAGAATCAGCTGTAAGGGCTGGTGTCTGGCTCCGTAGCAATGTGCTAGAGGTGCAGGGAGCTGCCAGCCCTCTTAGCTGTTTCTATTTAAGGGGCAGGTGCCTGCTCTAGGGTTGCTAGGCAACATGTTGCCTAGCAGTCCAGGGGAACAAGAGAGCCCTTTAAATAGAAACAGCTCAAAGGGATCCTGCCTCTCCCACAACGCACTAGAAGCCGGGGAGCTGTGAGACATTTCAGCTGTTTCTATTTAAAGGGCTCTTGTGTTCCCCGGCTGCTAGGCAACAGGTTGCCTGACAGGCACAGAGAAGGCACCAGCCCTTTAAATAAAAGCACTTAAAAGGGCTCACAGCTCCCCCAGCCTCTAATGAGTCGTTAGGAAGACAGAGATGCGAGCCCTTTCAACTGCTTCTATTTAAAGGGCTTGCCTGAGGGGTGGTTGCATTGCCTGGCGATCACCCAGCAGGTGCAAGACCTTTAAACAGAAGCAATTGAAATGGCTCACAGCTCTCGGTCCCACTGGCCCATTGCCTGGGCTCTGCCCGGTGGTGTGAACCCTTTCAATTGCTTCTATTCAGCTGCCAGGCAATAGGTTAGAAGTGGGGGGCATGGCTTTGCTCTCCTCTCCTCTCACATATGTGGTGGCCAATGCTCCAAGTGACCTCCAAATTGAGCTTTTTGACTTGCAGAGTGATGCCTTGCTTGCAGAACAATTAAAATCAACAGCACTTCTGGAATTTTATGCATCTCTCAATGAACAAAGCTTTCCAAAGATCAAGGCTCATGCCCAAAAGATGCTTGTATTTGGATCAACTTACATCTGCGAACAGACATTTTCTGTAATTAAATTCAATAAATCTAACAACAGATTTTCTATCCCTGATGACCACCTTGCAGTAGTGCTCTGCATTGCAACATCTGAAATGACACCTGACTTCATGTTCCTTGTTAATGCCCAACATAGTCTTTCTTCACACTGAGTTGCATTTTTTCTTTTACACTTAAATTTAATGCACATAAATTGCATTAAACCCAGGTGGGCAATACGTTGGATGTGGCTTCTGCCAATGCTTAATAACCTGTGCCTCTGCAGATATGGCCGTTTAAAGCTCCTGTTGGCTGTGGATCACCATTCCTAGCTCATATGAGCTGTAGGAGGTGGTGTCCCAATTCAAGCAGTGCCCATTGGCTAGAGATGGTGCTCCATGGTGAATGGGCGTTTCAAGCAGCTGTACCAGTGCTTGTAAATAGAGCACTGGTGAACCGTGTCTGCTCTGTGGGTCGGATGCTACCCACCACTGATGTAACTAAAAGTTTAGTGTTAGTGTTGTTATTACAAATTTTACAAGTGTTGCCTTCTATGATAATCTTTGGATAATGTTGTATGCAGTTAATTATTATATTAACTATATTATACTTTGTTGTGTAAAAAACATTTTGGCATCCTTTTACAGCACATGGACTGCCCCATCCACCCAAGGCCCTGCCCCTTCCAGGTCAGCCCACGGACACTTCTGAAATTTGTGAAGTTGTCCCCCCTTCAAAAATTATTGCCCACCCTGGTCTAGGAAAAGAAGCTAGAGGTCATAGTAAACCAAAAGCTGAATATGAGTCAACAGTGACACAACAAACCCCCTTACAAACAAACAAACAAACAAAAAAAAAGCATAATTCTGGGATGTATTAGCAGGACTGCTGTAAGCAAGACAGCAATTCTTCTGCTCCATGCTGATAAAGCCTGAGCTGGAGTATTGTGTGCAGTTTGGGCTCCACATATCAGGAAGGATGTGGAGAAATTGGAGAAGGGCCATGGAAGAGCAACAAAAATGATTAAAGGTCTAGAAAACATGACCTATGAGGGAAGATTAAATAAATGGGGTTGTTTTGATTGAGGGGACATGACAGTTTTCAAGCACATAGAAGATTATTAGAAGGAAGATTGAGGTAAATTGTTCTTAACCCCTGAGTACAGGATAAGAAGCAATGGGTTTAAATTGTAGCAAGGGAGGTTTAGGTTGGACATTAGGAAAACTTCCTAACTGTCAGGGTTGTTAAGCACTAGAATAAATTGCCTAGGGAGGTCGTGGAATCTCTGTTATTGGAAATGTTTAAGTGCAGCTTAGATCAGAGATGGGCAATTATGTTTTTCAGGGGGGCCACTTCATGAATTTTGGAAGTGGTTGTGGGCTGCCCCCAAAGGGGTTGGGCCTTGGGCAGAAGGAGGCTGTTCCTACTAGGTATGACCCATACCTGGTGGGGAAAGGAGACTTCACATGATCCCTCACCCCCAGACCCTGATTGGCCCAAGGTTCGGGGGTGTGGAAGTCTCTATCCCCTGCTCCCCACCCTCCCAGTGGTGCGCGGTGCCTAGAGAGAACCATTTTGAACAGCTGGAGGTTCCCTCTAGGTGCTACATGCCGCTAGCGGAGGGAGGAGGCTTTGTGCACTCCCCCACCCACAGGGAACCATCAGCTGTTCAAAACAGATGGTGGTTCCCTCAAGCCCTACACCCCTAGCTTGGCCTGATTGGCTTGGGGGTGAGGGAAGCATGCAAAGTCTCTCCCCTGCCCTGCCAGGACCATGGAGCACCTGAAGGGAACTGCTGGCAGTTTTGAACAGCTGGCAGTTCCCTCCAGGTGCTGCATGCCTCTGTCTGAGGGAGGAAACTTCGTGCGCTCCCCCCTGCTCCCAGGCCTCGATTGCCCTGGGGTGGAGGAGTGGCAAGGCGGTTGCAGGCCAGATCAAATGGCTTGGTGGGCCGGATCTGGTCTATAGATGCTATCTTAAGTTGGACATTAGGAAAAAGTTCCTAACCATCAGGGTGGTGAAACACTGGAATAAATTGCCCAGGGAGGTTGTGGAATCCCCATCTCTGGAGATATTTAAGAGTAGATTAGATAAATGTGTATCAGGGATGGTCTAGACAGTATTTGGTCCTGCCACGAGGGCAGGGGACTGGACTCGATGACCTCTCGAGGTCCCTTCCAGTCCTAGTGTTCTATGATTCTTGCCCACTCCTGTGTTAGACAACACCTATTAGGAATGGTCTAGATCAGGGTGGGGAACATCAGGTCCAGGGACTGGATGAGGCCCCCCGATTGCTTGGATCTGGCTCCTCGGGCTCAGCTTACCCCCAGCATTGGGGAGCCTGCACTGGCATCCATGCTGCCCCACTGCGGGGCTGGAGCACCTAAAATCTACTAGCCTAGGCTCCGGTGTGCGAGGGGAATGTGGAAAGTGTCTTTTTCCTTATCAGTCGGGGTCTATGTCAGTGAGGGTTTGGGTTTTGCTTTTTGTTTGTTTGTTTTGCTTTTCACTTGTGTTCAGTCCCTGACTGATTTTTCTGTGGGTCAGTGGCCCCCAATCCAAAAAAGATTCCTCACCCCTGCTCTATATAATACTTAGATCTGCCATGAGTGCAGGGGACTGGATTAGATGACCTTTGAAGGTCCCTTCCAGTCCTATGATTCTGTGATTCCCTCACAAAAACATGGAGTATTCCCCTTCCTGGAAGCCTGTTAGAAATAGGAATGGGGTGGAGCATGAGGGGCATAATTATTCTGTAATTGTTAAGAGTGATTATTCTCGTTCTTACTGAACCGGGTCCCCTACCACCATGCTCAGCCTTTCTCTCCATCACAGTGTTCGCTGAGGCACTCAAATGTTACTACCTTTACAAAAAAATATTCAACAGCAGATTTAAAAAAGACGTGTTCTGACTGTGTGTGTATATGCATGTTGTGTGGGTGCTTGTCCATGATCTTCAGAACTGTATGCAACCCTCCCCACCTCATTTTTTAAGTCAATTTTTTATCGTTAAGGAAAAGATGCTAAAAAAAATGGGAGGGGGCTGATTTGCAACTCACTGGTGGGAGTTTTTGCAAAGGCAGAAATGGCAGGGAGGTGCCTAATGAGAGGTACCCAACGGCTATTTGTACCTTTGCAAAACTACCTCACTCTTCTTAAGTGGTATACACAACAATTAGAGAAGGGCTCCAGATACAAAATTTGGATTTGGATACCAATCAAAACCACATCCCAAATTAAGGATGTTTAGGGTTTTCACCAGAGCTAATCTCTGGCCACTCAGTTTCATCTGTAAGACTATAAAAATCCAAAAGTATGCAGAATGTCCCCTAACCAAAATTGCTGTTGTGTTGGTATGAACACAGTGACCGGCTGGCCCTTCTTCAGGCGAGAAGAATTCTGCAGCAGCTTGGACTGGACAGCACTTGTGATGACAGTATTATTGTAAAGGAGGTGTGTGGTGCTGTTTCAAAGAGAGCAGCCCAGCTATGTGGAGCAGGACTGGCTGCTATCGTAGAGAAGAAGAGAGAAAACAGAAATCTCGAGCACTTGAAAATCACTGTTGGAGTAGATGGGACTTTATACAAACTACACCCACAGTGAGTATTTGTTCCTACCTTGCTTCAGTGTTGATTGAAAAGTCCAGTAAGAAAACAAACAAATGTATATTCGATAGTCTGTTCAGATTAGAGAAACTGAAAAGTTATTGTCAATAAATGAATGTGTATCCCTGCAAGTGATTATTAATTTGGACTAAGGGTTGAACATTTCCAAGAGAGGGTCATGGAATCATAGAATACTAGAACTGGAAGGGACCATGAGAGGTCGAGTCCAGTCCCTGCCCCCATAGCAGGACCACGCATCATCTAGATCATCCCTGATAGATGTCTATCCAACCTGCTCCTACATATCTCCAGTGATGAAGATTCTAAAACCTCCCTAGGCAATTTGTTCCAGTGTTTAGCCACCCTGACAGTTAGGAAGTTTTCCCTAATGTCCAACCTAAACCTCAAGAAAATTTGATGGAATTTAAGCATTGCTGCAATTTAAGCCTATTGCTTCTTGTCCTATCATCACAGGCCCAGGAGAACAATTTTTCTCCCTCCTCCTTGTAACACCCTCTTAGATACTTGAAAATCACTATCATGCCCCCTCTCAGTCTTCTCATTTCTAAACTAAACAAGCCCAGTTCTTTCAGTCTTCCCTCATAGGTCATGTTTTCTAGACCTTTAATCATTTTTGTGCTCTTCTCTGGACCTTCTCCAATTTCTCCACATCTTTCTTGAAATGTAGTACCCAGAACTGGACACAATATTCCAATGGAGGCCTAATCAGTGCAGAGTAGAGTGGAAGAATGACTTCTTGTGTCTTGCTCACATCTCTCCTGTTAATGCATCCCAGAATCATGTTTGCTTTTTTTGTAATAGTGTCACACTGTTGACTCATGTTTAACTTGTGGTCCACTATGACCCCTAGATCCCTTTCTGCTGTACTCCTTCCTAGACAGTCACTTCCCATTCTGAATGTGTGAAACTGATTGTTCCTTCCTAAGTGGAGTACTTTGCATTTGTCCTTATTAAACTTCATCCTGTTTACCTCAGACCATTTCTCCAATTTGTCCAGATCTTTTTGAATTTTGACCCTACCCCCCCAACGCAATTATAATCCCTCCCATCTTGGTTTCATCTGCAAAACTTAATAATCAAAGCAGTGCCTTCTTGTACAATACTACGAGTTGAACCTCTCTAGTCCTGAACTCTCTGGCCTGGAAATATCCATCGTCCAGAATGATTTTAGTTAGCTGGATGTCCACTTTTCATGGTTGTGGCCAAGTTTCTCATGGTCTCATAAAGTTTGTTTATAGAAACTAGTCCTAGTTCTCAGTGTTCTGTGCTGTTGTTTAACTCTAATTTACCCCTAAATGTCCTCTAACAGCTCACTAAGCAGTGGAAGTGTTGGTAATGCTGTTAGACAATACTGACTTCCCATCGTCGAGAAAATTCCCTGATTCTGAAATGGTCTAGTCCTAAGGGTGCCAGACTAGACAGGCTCAACTTGTAGTTCAAAGCTACCTGACTGAAGAAAGGGAAACTTTCTGCTGAGGTCCTAATGAATGATCTTGAGTTAAACAGAAGGGCTAGTTTCCAGTCGTTAAGTTTCCACAGAAAGCAAGAAATGATAATTTCTCGTTCTAGTTGCACACATTTAAAAACTACCTGAACTTTTTTAATATGGTATAAATGCAGATACAATGGGTACTGGCCTGGTTGGCCTTTAGGAGAGAATACAATATAAATGTTAAATAATAATGCAATATAAAGGCATATTTATCAGCTCATTTTACAATAAGTCATCTCTGTTCTTGTGTTAAGCCAGCTGTTGCATCTGTCAAAGACTGTGCAGCTCTCTGGTTCATTTAGCACATATAATATCTTCCTTTTTATGGCCCTTTGGATGTCTAAAGTGTGTTAAAATTCCAGCTAGAGAGAGAAACCCACTCACCCCACCCCTACACACAAAAAACTAAGTCAAAAGGAAATCTTCATGCTGTAAACCCACAATGAAAGTTTCTAATGGTTCTAAATGAAACTTTGCCATTTTGGACCTTTAACATTTTGGGTGATGGCTTGGCCAAATCTTTGGCCTTGTTGAAATGGAAGATAACGCTAGTTGTTAAGGTTCCGTGAATGAGGCCTAACCATGGTAGCAGAAAGTATAGAATTTGCTATCAAACTAGTCACTTCAGAAGACCCACCCTGCAGAAGGGAGACTGTCTATCATCCTCAGCAGTGTCTAAAATATGCAGCTTCTCTGCTTAAAGTCAGCTAATGATGGTAGGAAAGAGAGGTGAACCAAAAAATGAAAACTGCCACCAGATGTCGCTTTTTTTGTTTGCTGTTAAAATATTTCCATGTTACATTAAGTTTTCGCACGTTGTATAGGGAGGAATTTCTAGTTGTCACATCCCAACAGACCAACCTAGGCTATGGAAATGTTTCCTTAGATTTAACTACTTCTGTTTGGCGTCTCTTCCCCCTTTTCTCTTCTGAATCAGCTGTGGTACAAATTCCTGTATTAGCTCTTAATGGGACTTCATCATCTAAGAAGCTCCACTCCTTTAAAACAAACAACCCCCCAAAAACCCTATTCTGTAAACTGGGCTAATGAGCATGTAAGCCTCCGGGTTCACCATTGTACCACTTGGAACAGGCAAAGGTAAATTCCCATAAAATACAATGGGTGCGACGGCAGAGAGCTGGCTAGATAGTAGTGCCATAGAAGGCTTTAGTGCTTGCTAATATGAAAGGCACCTATGAAAGGCACCTTTAGGGCTCGTCTACACTGGCCCCTTTTCTGGAAGGGGCATGTAAATTTCACCAGTCATCGTAGGGAAATCCGCGGGGGATTTAAATATCCCCCGCGGCATTTAAATAAAAATGTCCGCCGCTTTTTTCCGGCTTTTAAAAAAGCCGGAAAAGAGTGTCTACACTGGCCCCGATCCTCCGGAAAAAGCGCCCTTTTCCGGAGGCTCTTATTCCTACTTTGAAGTAGGAATAAGACCCTCCGGAAAAGGACACTTTTTCCGGAGGATCGGGGCCAGTGTAGACGCTCTTTTCCGGCTTTTTTAAAAGCCGGAAAAAAGCGGCGGACATTTTTATTTAAATGCCGCGAGGGATATTTAAATCCCCCGCGGATTTCCCTACGACGACTGGTGAAATTTACATGCCCCTTCCGGAAAAGGGGCCAGTGTAGACGTAGCCTTAGTGATTACTAATATGAAAGGCACCCAGTGTTGCATTCTGCTGCATGCTAGAAAAAGAACTCCCTCTGAGGAAATGAATCCCTTTTTCCACCATCTCACAGGATGCAAGAACTCATTTCTGTTTCCTGTTATATAGTAGGCAGAACATACTGAGAGGAGGTGGGAGAACCAGTGGAGATGTTGATTGGTAGGGTTTACTATATTGTTTATTTGGCTCCTTGCTTCCTGAAGGTAAAACAAATCTTTCTAGTCTGAGTTAGTGAAGAAAGGATGTGACCAAAATTAATACATTCAGGATTCCTTATGTCTGGGGGCACACTATGGTGGTTGTGTATGGTAATCCTTAGCATAACATCAGCAAACTACAAATTTCAGAATCACAGAATTAAATCAGGTGGTGATTTAAATTATTTGTAAACAAGCACAAATGATCACTCCACAAATTAAGTGGTTTTTTTTTTTTACTTTTAGTTTTTCTAGGATTTTGCAGGAAACAGTGAAAGAATTGGCACCTCACTGTGATGTAACCTTCATGCTGTCTGAAGATGGAAGTGGAAAGGGAGCTGCTCTAATTACTGCTGTGGCGAAAAGACTGCATAATGCTGGGGAAAATTAAAAACAAAGACACACACTTAAGTACACATGCATTAGAGATTTGCTCGATGACCACACAAAATAACTTGGGTGGAGACCAATAAGAAATACCCACTATTAGCTGGCACCCAGACTAAGCCTACTGCCAATAAAGAAAAAGTAAAATCTTTGACCCACTGTAACTCGGGTGCAGGTTGCTGTGGCCAGTTGCTAGTTAACACTATATTCTGGGATACTACAATAGACTCATTGCTACAATATGACCTAACGCCATACCTAGTGTCATACAGCAGGTCTCACAATTTTTTTTCCAAAAATCAGTTTTTGAAGTGCTCAGTAGATCTCCTGTTCCACTTAATGTTATTCTGTGAATTTGTCGCCCAGTTTTTCAGGGTCTTAGGGTTTTATTAGCCATAGCTAAATCTGATTCAGTGGGTATTGAGTTCCTGATACAGTATAGCTACGTCTAGACTGGCCACAAATTCCAGAAAAGGGATGCAAATCAGGTAAGTCAGCATAGGGAAATCCGCGGGGGATTTAAATATCCCCCACGGATTTAAATAAACATGTCCGCCGCTTTTTTTCCGGCTTGGGGAAAAGCCGGAAAAAAAGTATCTAGACTGGCGTGATCCTCCGGAATAAAGCCCTTTTCCGGAGGATCTCTTATTCCTACTTGAAAGTTAACTTGAAAGTAGGAATAAGAGATCCTCCGGAAAAGGGCTTTATTCCGGAGGATCATGCCAGTCTAGACGCTTTTTTTCCGGCTTTTCCCCAAGCCGGAAAAAAAGCGGTGGACATGTTTATTTAAATCCGCGGGGATATTTAAATCCCCCGTGGATTTTCCTATGCTGACTTACCTGATTTGCATCCCTTTTCCGGAATTTGTGGCCAGTCTAGACGTAGCCTATATCTCTAGTGGGTATACTGGTTGATTTTTCTTGTTTTAAAACTAGATATACTTATTGGAATAAAATAATTAACTTTGTCCTATGAAGTATCATGTTAAATGAAATATGTATTACTACTAGGGTTGCCAAGCAATTAAAATTAATTATGATTATGATTAATCACATGATTAAAAAATTAATTGCATGATTAAAAATGCTGTTAAACAATAACAGAATATTTGTTTAAATATTTTGGACTGTTTTCCACATTTTCAAATGTATTAACTTCAATTACAAAACAGAATACAAAGTGTACAATGCTTGCTTTATATTTATTTTTTATTACAAAAGTGCCATGGGAATGCCTGTTCTCACTTTCAGGTGATTTTGTAAATAAGAAGTGGGCAGCATTATCTCCCATAAATGTAAACAAACTTGTTTCTCTTAGAGATTGGCTGAACAAGAAGTAGGACTGAGTGGACTTGTAGGCTGTACAGTTTTACATTAATTTGTTTTTGAGTGCAGTTATGTAACAAAAGTCAACATTTGTAAGTTGCACTTCATTATAAAGAGATCGTATTAAATTACTTGTATGAGGTAAATTAAAGATTCTGTTATTTATCATTTTACAGTGCAAATATTTGTATTAAAATAATATTTCAATTGGTACTCTATTGTTTAACAGTGAGATTAAAACTGCAATTCATTGATTAATTTTTAAATTGCAATTTTATTAGAGTTAATTGCAAGAGTTAACTGTGATTAATCAATGCCCATAATTACTACATATTTTTACTGTCTTGATACCTGAGTAGTTGTAATGCAGTGCACTCCACATATGGTGGATGCTGTTAGAAAATGGATATACTGTACAAGAATCAGTTGCAGCCCACAGGAGAATATACTCTCAGCTGTCTCTTGATCTCAAGCTCTTTCATGACCTGGGGCCCTCATTTATAACCTCCAGCTTGGAATCAGATCCAATTACAAAATGTTGTCTAGCTGAGTTGGCCCATTCCCAGCACTTGTCTGTTAGGCTTCTCTTCAGGACAGGAATGAATGTTCCCTATAAGGGGGCTAGAGAGCAAGTGTGGATGGAGATGGGGGTAATTGGTTCTTACATAAGAAAAGCCCTAATATCAGGAATGAATCTATAAAATCCGGACATCTGGTCCAGCCTTTAAAGGGACAGACCACCCTAATTCCATTACACCTCTCTTAGTCTCTGGGTGTGTCTAGACTACACCCCTCTTTCAGCAGAGGGATGTAAATTAGACACTTTGAAATTGCAAACGAAGCTGGGATTTGAATTTCCCATGCTTCATTTGCATATTCGTGTCATGGTGCTCTTTTGAAAAAGTGCTATTTTGAAAGTGAAACCGCAGTCTAGATGTGGTTCTTTTGAAAATGAAGTCTTTCAAAAGATCCTTACAGGACTTTCAGTCTAGACTGAGGTTTCACTTTTGAAATAGCGCTTTTTTGAAAGAGCGCCATTCCGCAAATATGCAAATGAAGCATGGGAAATTCAAATCCCAGCTTCGTTTGCAATTTCAAAGTGTCTAATTTACATCCCTCTGTCAAAAGAGGGATGTAATCTAGACACACCCTCTGAGTCCGAGAAATATTTTCTAGAATGGTCACATTAATTTCTTTGGTTCTTTTCTTCCTTATTTTCATTCTATTTTCTCCTCCCCATTCAAATGCTAAAATCAGGATATTTCCATTTGATGGAAGATGGAATTCTCTTTCCATTTTTTTTAGTCCCCTGGCTGTTGATCTGCCTGTCTCCAATCGTCCTAAATTAATTCTTGGGAGAGCAGCATGTTTTGTTGCTCACTCCAAAAGTGACTCTCAAGTACCATTGGAAGAGCAGCAGAGACGCAGACTGACATGAACTTTTAAAATTGAATCTCAGCAGCTGGGCAAAGGTCAGTCAGCAGTGGATGAAACAAGGATTCCTGGGGTGGGTTGTTGGTGGTGGTGGTTGTTGTTGTTGGGGGAGAGGGTTGTTTTATATATATCCGTGGGAAGTGAACAGTAACATGCTGAGATTTATAGACACCTTGAAAATAGTTACTATCCCTGGGCATGAATTAAAAATATCACACTTATTTAATGGATTAGCAAATGAAATGAAGTAATATGTGGCACAAAGGATCAAAATGGCAAAACAGGAACCTTCTGGTTTCCAATCTCAGCTGCTTCCATATCTTCTTAACTCTTTGTTCATGTATATTCTTGTGTCCTTGTGCTGGAGCACAGCAGGACACAGCGCTTGTGCTGACAGCAGCCTGCCCCAGGCACTAGTAGCCATAATCTGGGCTTGGATGTGTCCATAACAGTTGTGTACTGTGTTAAATAGTTGGCTTCGTGTTAACAATCATGTAAAAACTGAAATAAGACTGAACATTTAAACCTAGAAAGCGTGAATCAAATATTTTAAGATACATTCACTTTATATTTTTTAATTTTTAAAAGCTGGCCAATACCTTCTTTCACTGTGACATTGAAATTATAGAATGGCTGAAAAAATAAAACTCATTAATGAAATTGGAACTGATTTTCACTTGATAAAACACTAAAATATTATTTTTGTTTCTTGGCCAGCTGGAGAAGGTAAATGCATATTTAATATTTAAGAACAGGCTACTTATGCAATCATATTGCAAAGACAAGTATACCTGTGCATCATATGAATTCTTTCTTGATTTCTTACAAGTAGATCAATAATTGTACATTTCTTTTTGTTATACCTCTTGATTGGATTTTCCCATGAAATACTGTCTCTTCACAGAAAATAACTTTTAGTGAGTAAAATAAGCAGGCACTATTTGGAAAAGGCCTAGGCAAAATACCCTCCATGGGCTGTATCTGGCCTGCCAAGCCACCAGAGCCAGCCTGCGGATGCAGCAGGGAGCCTCAGGCAGACTCCCTGCTTGCCCCACGTGACCGCCTCAACACAGCTCAGAAAAGCAGCTATTGCAGCCATTTCTCTTTCTCAGTTGTGAACCTGGGGAGGGGAGAGTGGTTCTTCACATGCTGCTCCCGCCACCAGCATAATCCCATTGGCCAATTTCTGGACAATGGGAGCTGCCTGTTCAGAGAACAGGCAGTGAACAAAGCACCACTCCCCGCCTCAGGCTCTTATTCATCAACACACTTGGCCCCTGCAACATGTGTGGGGATGGAGCAGGGGCAGGCAGGGAAGCTGCCTGAGAACCCTGCTGGACTGCTGGCCAGGAGCCACCCAGGTAAGTCTCCTGACCAGAGCTTGTCTCTGGCACCCCAGCCCCTTCCTCCTCCCAGTCCTCTCCCCCCCCCACTCCGGCTCCTCTACCCCACATAAGTCCCCTCATGAACCCCTCCTATACCCTGCACCCCAAGGACCAACCCAAAACCCCAGGTCACAACCCCTCCTGCCCTAGGTCATAACCCAAACTGCTGCACCCCAATTCCCTGCCCCAGGTCATAACCCCTTCCTGTCCTAGGTCCCAACCCAAACCCCTGCACCCCAGTCAAGTGCCCCAGGTCACAACTGCCTCCTTCACCCAAACTCCCTCCTGCACCACAGTCCCTTATCCCAAGCTCCTTTCTGCACTCAACCTCCATCCCAGACCCTGCACTTCCTCCATTAATATCATGGAAGAATGTGGCCCTCGACCACTTTTCAAAATCTTGGGGTGCCCCCTCTCCCATCAAAAATTATTGCCCACCCTTGATTTGGAACCACCTTTTCCAAAGCAACAAGCAACATAGCTAGAGTGACTTTTTTTCTTGCAGGGTAGTAGGTACTAAATCAAACCTACCGTATAGTACTCCCTTCTTTAAAAAGTGGGTTGCTGGAAACTAGTGACCCTCAATCAAATGTTTATATTCAGGAATAATTATATGATTTTTGCATAGCTAATTTTAACTTCACTAGCAATCCCACAATGTCAACTGACTCAATGGTATCCTGGCCCTACATGACAGAAGACGGATATTTGATTTGTATTAGTTTTGTATAGAAATATTAGTAAGTGGCAGGCCATAAAGTTGGCATGAATATTTAAAAACAAATAGGTAGGGAAATAGAAATGTTCAAAAATGCTACCACATCCTGAGTCTCCACCCAGCTTGGGAGCAAAGCACTTAAAATGGCTGTGGCCATTAGGGAAATAATTGTAATGTTCACCTAATAATGCTAAGGCCTGGCAGCTCCTGTATTGGGACCTTCTAAGCTTCTCTACAAATGGGCTTAAGCTTATATTTATGTCCCAGAGTGAAGAATGTTCTTGTGAAAAGTGCAGTGTGTGCTGGGATACCAGCACTGGGGAAACCACAAAGAGGAATCTGAATGGAGTTGTGAGAGTCAGTAGAAAAGCCACTAGCTCCCTCTGGAGGGAGATGGGCCCTGGCTCCCACTGTCACTGTGAAGGGGAGAATTCATTATAGTCCCCTCCAGGGAGGGGAGAGGGCATGGTCTCCAGTGGTGTATGACCGACACACTCTAGAGGTTTTAAAAGTCACTTTTTAGAGCTCCTATTTTATTTATACAAATGTTGATTTGTTTTCTATTAAAATATATAGGATTTTCCTGTAAACTGGTTGATATTTAATATAAATGT